AAACACGATACGTCTCACCGACCGCAGCAGCAGCACTCTCCGGAGAGGGGAGGATGCCTTTAGCATAGGGACCTCATGAGGTGCCTCACTGGTGCTAAGGATGAAATTTAAAGAATTCCACAATTTTCTTCCTGACATGATGCATAAGCCACGCCCACCTCTTGGTAGTTTTTTTTCTATAGGTCTTGACTAGGCTCTTTCATGTGTCTTTCCATTGCTTTAAACCCAGTGAGTTACTGCAACATTTAATTTCCCTTTTGAGGCTATATAAAGTATTTTTGAGTTAAACTGAATGTCTAACCTAGTCAAAGGCAGCGTGGAATCAACAGAGCAGGCCAGAGTTCCTTCCCTTCCCATAATGCTGTTCTAACTCATTAACAGGTGAAGCAACAGACGCTCAGAGGCTATTATCAGAGGATTTTAGACAAAACCTTAAAAAGGTTCTTGGTTTCTTTCTGCGTTCCACTCTGTAACCTTTCTGTAACCAACTTTGTTATAGCATGATGCTGGAAATGAAGGTATACTTTTTTGCATTATTGGTTCTAATTAAGTGGATTCTGTGATGTTCTAGCAAATATTTGCAAACACTCTCAAATCAACAGTCTGTATTATGTATTATGCTGTCTGTTAAATTAATAATGGGAAGATTTTTTCAAAAGACTGAACCATTAAAATCTTCAGTATCAGTAGAATTTCAGCCATACCTCTGCAGCTTAGTGTCAACAAAACTTTTACATCAAAATGTCAGGAATAGACTAGAACATAGTGACTTACTTTAATGTCTGTAGTTTGCAGTGGGGAGACTGGAAAAAACCACAGAGCTGCTTCACTCCATCATCTTTTAGGTCTTCGTTCCTACTCAGGTTCAGCTCTGTCAGATGGGAGGGGTTGGTATTCAGAGCTGAGCTGAGAGAAGCACAGCTGATCTCTGAAAAACCACATCCAATCAATCTAAATGAAAAGGAAAATAGGCTGGCTCAAGCAACAGGAAACCAATTAAAACTGAAATATTGACAAATAAATTATGTAAAATGTAGAAAATTTATTTAAATGAATGTAAAAGTCCCAGAAACACAATGAACTGATGTCTGATATTTGATCCAGTAAAATTTATTAACAGTAAAACCTGGCAGAACCAGGACACCTTTTATTAATGCCGTGTTTAGGTCCAGATCAAGTTGTGTTTATTAGTCTCCTCCAGGAGGGATCAGTGTTGGACAAGGTTCCATTTCATAAAGCAGGTTTAAAAAACTCAGACTCAGATCCTCAACTCTGAAATGATTCAAGACATATGGCTGAAGGTTAGAAGATACAACTACAAAGTCGATCATTGACCTCTGGCCTAGAGTGTTCTGGTGCCCTGTGCACCAATGGAAATCCTTCTGCTTGAACAGGGTGTTCATTATGGACAATCTGTTACTTGCATAGATGTTCACTAATGAATGACCACTCTGGTTCAAAGCTGGGGGGTCTGTGCCTTCCAGGTGTCACCATTGTTTTTAACATGGTGAAGTGGTGTTGAAGTCCCCCAGCTTAATGATGGAATCCCAAGGAGAGGCGCTATCCAACAATCCCCAGGGATGCCAAGGCCTGGTACTCCGGGGGGGGAGACGAAAAGACTCATCCACACCCTCTATCTCGCCCCACGAGCCACTCCAGAGTAGAGGAGAGTCCAGCCGCTCTCAATGAGCTGGGTTCCGAAGACCAAGGTATGCATGGAAGAAATGGAGGGTGTGTTCCATATATAGGGGATAAACACTTCTAAGCTTCTCTGGTAAACGCTTATGTCAGGGTGATGGAGAGGAGAGTCCGGCCTATGGGTGAGCCTCTGCTTCAGAACGTGCAGTGTGGAACAGTGGACCAACTCTAATCCCTCATTACGTGCTTAAAGTGATCGTGGGAGTTTCCCTGTGCTAGTCCACATATTTTTTTGTGGACATGGAGATGGCAAAGGTCACTCGTAATGCACTGTGGGAGTCTGTTAATAAGTACTGAGTCAGGGGACATTTACTAGGGGCCATTGTTCTGCATTGCCGGCATTAAGTCAGACCTGTTCC